GGGTGATGCTAGACTTAGGTATTAGGGATATTTATGTAATTGCAAATGTAATTTCAAAATCTTAATAAAGTACTAGCGTGACTGCTTATATTAAAAAAAAAAAAAAAAAAAAAAAAAAAAAAGAACCTAATTTAAAATCCAAAGAGATACTTTCTGTTAGTAAAAACTGATTCTAACTTCTAACTCACTAGTAAAAGATTTGCAAGGATACTTTCTCTCAACAATGTACTAAATATTTTAGAACAATAATATACATATTAAATATCTTTTAAAGATGATAATATATATATTAAATACTTTTGAAAATGATAATTTACATATTAAATACTTTTTGAAGATGATAATATGTATAATATTAAACATCTTTAGAGACAATAATATGAATATAGGTATGTATGAAGACAATAATATCTGATAATATGATAATGTGAAAATTTTTATGCATCGCTGATTGATTGTTGGGGTTTGAAATATTCTATAAAGAATGATACAGGTTTTGGGATTTGAAATTTGGTCTAAAATTACGATAAGTGTTGATACCAATTTCAAATTAAGTAGAAATGTCAAACATTTGTAATTAGGGTTCGGGCTACATCTCTATACTAGTTATATTGTAAAATATAAGTGCTAGCTTAGAAGTAAAAACTATCTTTTTTTACGAAATATATAGATCATCTTATAATTTTATATATAATGCAACTTGCAGATCCTTTAATTAAATCATTATTCTAAAAATTTTCTGACATTATACTTGACCAGTATGCACCAATACAAATAAATAAATAAATAAATAAGAAATATGCTTGCTGTGCAGAATAGGAGCATGCAAATTGCTTATTTTTCAGGCCTGGCCCACAAAATTTCTTATATAATTTTGCAAAATTTTAGATCTGGCCTAGCCTATAATTATAAAATTTTGCTTTAGGCCTGGCTAGGCTGCAAGACCCAATGTAGGCCTTTAGTACAGAATATTTCTAAGCATATGATTAAACAACCTTTCTAATAACAAGGCCAACTAACAACTAGAATTAATTATAACCCTTTAAAACTATAAGTCAAGCAAGTATATATAACTATTTAGTCATTTACCTGACCAAAATCCTGATTTTTTTTTATAACATAAAACATCAAATAAAACTATTTGCATTTGTGACTAATCAATTCTTAACTATGACAGGCTAAAATACTTCAAATATGTATGTCAATACTGCCAATCTTAACTGTTACTATTATAATTTAGTTACTCTTTTTATAAATTTAAGGTTATGAGGCAGCTAATTATTATAAATCTGATTGGCTGTCCTGAAGCCACCTTTTGCTATAGGCCCTTATTTGTCTAAAATAGGACCAATAGCCTTATATGTATGTGTTTCTTAGAAAAATAAAAATCTTTAGTTACTAATATACTGTGAAAAATGACCTATTTAGTACAAATTATCTAAAATTTCAAAAGGATCTTTTTTTTGTTTTTTCATGAAAGGTGGTAAATTTGCTGTATCGTATAATGGTAACAATGGTAAAGATAATGTGCTTAGCCTTCTTTGAGCAATTTCTTATATCTTTTTAACTTGGTCAAGTAATATGTACTATATAGAAAATACAATGATCCAATCAATGATTTAAAAAAAAAAATGTCACACAGTCATCCTGTACATACTTGTAATGTGAGAAGATTTTCCAAAAAAATTAATAGAAGATCTTTTATGTCTGAAAGCATTATGAGAAGTATTAATGTTGCCATTTTAACAAAAAATAGAAGTTTTGTGAACTATTATATGAAATAGAGTAGATTGTCCAACTTATATCTATGTAGCATAAAAAAATTTTTGGTAAAAGAATAAATATTGAATGTATAACTTAAAAATATTTTTTTACCTACTAGTAATTTGAATTCTGAAGATGAAAACATCTTTAAGCTTCACCTTTTTAAAATGCAATTTGCTTCTTAAGATGTCTAAACAATCTTTTATAACTATTTTAAGTTTTGAGTGATCTTTCTTGTATTTAGTATTATCCATGAGTCCTTCTGTGTTCCCACTTCAAGTGGTAGTAACTCACTTTTATAACTTTGCAATGTAACTATTAAATTTATTTTTTTCATACTAGTAATAAGATCCACATATTTTTCATGCACTGTCTTTCATTTTTAGTTGATAACACTGTGAGACTCTTTTTCGATCCTATACAAAGTCTTAGGTTAATGTTATCATTGATAATAAATAATATATTTTCTAGGACATCATTACATACTAGTTAAGCTCAAAAGTACTAATATCAAATTCTTCTAGAAGTGTACTAATTATCAGACTAAGAACTTTAATGATGAAGTCACATTCTTTATATTTCAAAATCAGGACATTTACTTTTTTTTGTAAATAATAATGACTATATAAAAACCAGTCAGTATTTGAAAGAAGATCTAATATTAAAGTATTTAAAATGAATTTATAAAAAGTTAACTATTTCAACAATTAGCAATGAATCTTCAGATGAAGATATCAAGTTTATAAACTTATTCTTCCATGTTATTAGATCATTTAATGATCGCTAACAAACAGATATCATAATAATTGAGTATATTGTAAAAAGTAAGAAACTATATAATAAATAACTTATTATTTGACCAGGTCTATTACATAGCAATTTTTTGTACTTCATTATTAATTTTGTCTTTAGAAAGCTTTGTTCTTGATTTAATGAACAATTGTGAATAGTCTGATGCCTTAAGGATTCTGTTCTATTCTACTTTAGTCCAATCTAATAGATCCACAATATGGGATTCAATTGATTTAAAAATATTTAATGATTAAATAAAAGCATGCATTATTTATAAAAAGGTAATCATAATAATATACTGCACTCACAAATTGTCTTTTTCTAATCGATCCATAACCTTTACTCATATTTCTTCAAGATTTAGATTGGAGAAAAGTAAGACAGACACCTATATTAAATTGCTATTAAGATATTATGAAAAATGTAGTTTCAATAAGTGAAGATGTTCTCATCATATTACCTTATTTACAAGGATTTTATCAATTTCTGTGTCATCTAATTCTTGATTCTCTTGATCCTCTTGACTGTTAGCTTGTAAACTATTTAACAGTTGTGTAGTTTTAAGAGAAGATGTTACCTTTTTGTAGAGATTGGAACCGTTTAACCATTTAAAAATTACTCTATAGTTCTGGATAGAATTATATTGGTCATGGACCAGAATTATTTTAATGCTGGCAAAATTAAATGGTTAAATGATTAAATAATTAAGAAAAATTTTAGGCAGTTTCAATCTCTACCTTTTTGGTAAATGACATTAATATACCATTTGCATCTTCTTTTTATTTTTTTTGTAAAAGCTTTATCATTTTTTGAGTGGAAAAAATATCTTTTTCTACATATAATATATTGTTTTTCAGTTGCTTTATTCTTTCGAAAAACTATAAATTAAAGTTTCTTTTATAAAACTCATTATACCATTGCTGACAACTTTGTAGAATGACAAAGCCTTTAAGGATATTACTTATATTTAGTAGTTCATGGCAAAAACCACATATACAACCAGGAATACTTTTATAAGTGTTATTTTCAATAATTTCTAGTGATTTCTTCCAATTCTCATAAACCACCAGCCAAGGTAAGATTGTATTTTAATTTTTCAAACAATAATTTAGATAATGTTTCAACTACCAATTTTAGGCCTCAATTTTCATAAAATAATCATTCACGTCTTTTTCTCTATCAGGTACCACAAATTTCAAGTACTTGTTTGTTCTTAATACTGCAGTCATGTACGAGCTTTGTAAAAATAAAACAGAACAAAAGTATGAAAACTTGATATTGTTCAATGTTTTTTAAGTTATACATGATCTTGTGATTTGATTGACTACAATACGTGATTTATTTATACACTTTCAAGTTATATGCATAATGTTTTATCCTCACTGACTTTGCTTAGAAGACAAAATATACCGATTGTTTATTGGATAATCTCAAATTATATTGAAAATAAAGATAATTGAGAACGTTTTGTCAAGGCTGTCTTATTACGTTAGATTTGAAAAAACTTTTTTTACTAACTATTGAATTTGAACAAGAATAGGTTTATTGTAAAAGAAGTTCTGGGTTTAATACTTGAATTTGCTTGGTTCTGTCAGTGGCAAAATTGGGATGCAGCTCTACTAGAGGCGTTACGATTTGGTGAGTATATATCTATCTCTTTTTTTTTTCTTAGTTTTATTTAACAAGCGCTTCAACTAACTACTACGAACTCTACAACTCAACGACTGATGACTATAGAGGCGTTCGACCTTTCTAATTTGTAATTGGGGATGCGAAAGATAAATTTTTATTTGCATTTTTGGTTGTTGCTTTTATACATGTTTTTGCTATTACTAACTAACTTGTTTGTTTTAGGCTTTTTTCCTCTCACCATTTTCACTCTATTGATTGCTTGGGTAAGTATCTTATCTCCCTATCTTCATTTATCCATTTTTGGTTCCATTCGTATTACTAACATTATTTGATTCATTCATTTTTTTTGTTTGGTTTTTCCCTATCATCCGATTGTTGCATGCATGAATGCAAACTGGTTTTCGTGGTACGATCGGTACTGTCGATCATGCTCATTTGGATCACTGCGCGTTGTGTTTTGATAATAAGTTTTGGTTAATGTGTTTGGGTTTATTTAATACGGGTAGATCTATAAAAATTAGCCAATAGACAACCTTGCACCAAGATGTTGTAGTTAGGGAGAGCCTTTCTTATACGGTTGCCTGATTTTACAAGCATAGGCGTATTCTAAACCCGACTATAAACTAGTTAGCAGGACTTATCTTTAAGATCTAGATTGCTGGATCGCTGGTAGGTTGTCATGTTATAAGTGCTTAAGGTTAAGAACTGTTCATGTTGGTCTAGACATTGGTGGTGACAGTTGATTTATTAACTTTGCAGAAGTTTCTCGTGACGGTCCATACATTGGCGGCGAGGTCTTCTCTTGTATCTTAGATATTTAGGAGACGCCATAGCTTCATGACGGTCCAGACATTGGCGGTGAAGTTATGAGTTAGTGGATATTCAAGTTATCTCTTGGTAGCCTTAAATATCCTTTGCAAAAGTTCCTCGTGACGGTCCAGACATTGGCGGCGAGGTCTTTCTTTGTATCTTAGATACCATAGCTTCATGACGGTCCAGACATTGGCGGTGAAGTTATGAATTGCTTAAGGCTAACAACTGTCATGTTGGTCCAGACATTGGCGGTGAAGTTATGAATTGCTTAAGGCTAACAACTGTCATGTTGGTCCAGACATTGGCGGTGACAGTTGATACACTAACTTTGCTGAAGTTTCTCGTGACGGTCCAGACATTGGCGGCGAGGCCTTCCCTTGTATCTTAAATACTTAGGAGACGTCATAGCTTCATGACGGTCCAGACATTGGCGGTGAGGTTATGAGTTAGTGGATATTCAAGTTATCTCTTGGTAGCCTTAAATATCCTTTGCAAAAGTTCCTCGTGACGATCCAGACATTGGCGGTGAGGTCTTTCTTTGTATCTTAGATACCATAGCTTCATGACGGTCCAGACATTGGCGGTGAGGTCTTTCTTTGTATCTTAGATACCATAGCTTCATGACGGTCCAGACATTGGCGGTGAAGTTATGAATTGCTTAAGGCTAACAACTGTCATCATTGGCGGTGACAGTTGATTCACTAACTTTGCTGAAGTTTCTCGTGACGGTCCAGGCATTGGCGGCGAGGCCTTCTCTTGTATCTTAGATATTTAGGAGACGCCATAGCTTCATGACGGTCCAGACATTGGCGGTGAAGTTATGAGTTAGTGAATTTCAAGTTATCTCTTGGTAGCCTTAAATATCTTTTCTAATACACAATTACACATGTAGAATTCAATAAAGAAAATCATAACAATGATTACTAATCATTTTCATTGTTTAAATTTCCATTTTTGAACTTTACCACCATCTATAATTACACATATATCAAATCTTACGAGTTAAAAAGGTAAATTTCATTTTTATAAAAATATCTATATCTACTTTGTTTTTATCACTAACTACAAGATTTTCATTTCTATATTATTTTATACTATATTTTCGAAATAAATAATTCCACCCATATCTACGCTTATACATATTATACTTCCACACACACAGATATAGATGGTGATAAAATTCAAAAATGGAAATTTTAACAATGAATGATTAGTAATTATTGTTATAATTTTCTTACTATGTAAAAGATTATTTTCCGCCCTGAGATGAAAAAATTTCGAACCTAAATCATAAATTCCGGAGATTAGCAACTGAGGTAAAAATAAGCAATACAATGTTTCTGATTCATACATAGCACTATGATTCATTTTCTTCGCATTTTTTTCCGTCTCTTATTCAAGAAATTTGTTGCTTAATGCAATAGATTTCGTGGCATGTAAAGTCACAAAATTAACAGTGCACTGATGAGACACGTGTTTACGGTCACGATTTTCTCAACGGTCAAATGTGTTAAAAGATCAAGAATGCTAATATGTTTGTTTTGACTTTATACATTTATAAAATCTAACATCATATTGATGTTCTTCTAGAAGCTAGCCAAGAATCAAACCAAAATACATTATTATATTACTTTGTAGATTACACTCATTCTTAATTAGTTTCATTGGTTGTTTTTTCATTTTACTTGTACAAGGTGGATAAAAGCATTTACTAATCACTTTTTACTAGATCTTACATTTTGACACTTATTATATTTTTGATCAATTATCTTATTTTTTGCTAAAAATCTTAAATTTTATCTCATTGTTGTGTTTTTTCAAGACATGTTTTGATAAAAATTTTTTGAAAAAAAGTGGGAAAGGAATTTTTTAGAGTATTAACTGTAATGAATATAGGAATTTACATTATACAGAATAGTATATCCAATTAGGCTTCTATCTTTGCTACTGTTTAGATATAATTTGATAAAAACTTTTTTGGTTGTAGTCAAAGTTATTTTTTCAATAACTTTATAGACTTTTACTAGAGAGTCAAATTCACAAAGAGCTATTTTTTTCAACTTTTTTTTATATGACCTATATATAATCTGAAACTCTTAAATTCAGATATTATATGATGAAGTTTTGTTATATATAACATACTAATTATATAATTTTTATAAATTAGTATATATAGAAAAATTGGTGCAAAGGATCATTGAAAAGAGTTTTTTTCAAAATATTAAACAATTTATATTTAATCTTCTTCTTTTATTAACAATAATTTTTTATCTTTTACACTTATATAAATTATTATACTTGTTTTAAATACTTAGTTTTAATTGGTTATACTAAAAGAAATAAGTATTATTATCTTATTAAAAAATATATTACTAAAAATAATGAAATTTATCATCTAGTTTATATAATTGTCTCACTTTAATATAAAATAAACTCATCTTAAATCAAGAAAATCTTATTTAAATTTTTTAAGATTTTTATATAAATTTTTTTAAATTACTAATTTTAATACTGTTTCTTCTTATTAAATCTTTTCTATTAGTTTTAATCTTATTTTTTTTTTTTACTTAAATAGTTGTACTAGTATATTTTTATTAAGAAAATATAAATACTGATACAAATATTACATATTTAATTTCAAAGACTTAATTTTTCTAATTACTTTTTTGAATGCCTAAAAACAACTTATCATACTAGGCAATAACAAGACTACTTAAAAAACTATTTCCAACTACTGCTCTACAATAGAGTATTACCAAACTGATAACACTTTCTTGTAAAGAAATAATAAAAAAAAAAACTAAACTAAACTAAACTAAACTAAAAAGTGATACAGAAAAAAAAAAAAAATAAGTATTGAAAAGCATACCTTATTCATAACCATTCCAGTAAAATTACTAATATTTTAAACCTGTGCTAAAGATCTAACTACAGTTTAACCTGTGCTAAAGAGTTAAAAATTCTATATATATAATTCTAGAAATTATCATATATCTCTAATTTGCTATAATTCTCCAACTTAAATTCTTTTTCGTTTCTTTATTATATCATATATTAGGCTATATATGTAATTGTTATGTTCCTATTATATCATGTTATAACACATAACTGTCTAAAAAAGAAAGTAGTAAACAATGCTGATCTTTTATAAAGGGTAAGCCAAATTCTCTACTTTTGAATAAAAAATGAAATAGATAAAAGGGTTGACAAGTATAATATATGAAAAGCCAGACTAAAAAAAATGTTTCTAACTATTTATTCTGTTTTTAAGCTTCTAATAATTTTTAACCAAAGTTTTTCTTTATTCTTT